TTTAAAAATGTAAGAAAAATAAATTTTAAATAAATGCATGTGAAATTTATTTAGATTTTAGGTCTCTAATTAAGATTTCGCTTTAGGCCTCCGATTACGTTAAGCCGCCCCTGTAATAATATACTTTTATCATTGAACAGAAAAACCAGACTAATTTTTAATATAATCATTTATGAGGTGAAATGATATATATGCAAGAGATCAATGATGTTTTAAATTCAGCTAACAAGAATTGACAGAACCATATATTTTGTCATTTTACCAATAAACTTCAAAAGTCAAAAGTGGTGAATGAATTTTTTTACTTTTTTAATATATGATTTTATTCATGTCATAGAACATGGTTTTGTCTGCAATGTGCTTTGCTCTCATTATGATTTGTAATGATTTTACCTTTTTCATTTTCAGTGCACCAATACATTTTCAATTTTTTTTTTTTTTTTTTTTTCCTGTGTGTAATGGGGTTGTATGATTCTTAAATAAACATTAATTATTTTGATTAATTTTGTAATGATATGAACAACAAGAAAGAAGTACCATGATTGGGCTAACTCAGCAAGCATTGATCTCCCATGTGAAATTCATAATGACTTGCACAAAAAATATAAACTCATCTTCTTTACTATACATAAACCAATTAAGCTAAAAAGGAAAAACAATTAAATAACTAAAATATGGATAATTCTAAAAATTTAACATGATTCTTTTATATTTGCCCAATTAAGAAATGATTGCTTGAAAGCGAAATAGTATTGTAAATATGAATTGTGATAGGATAGTACCCTTCATCCTTAATCGAAGGTTTTCAATTCAAGTCTTAGGAAATGAAACAACTCATGATGTTGGGAGCACCGCTCAGAAATGGGCCCTACAACACACGAATCAGAATTTGATCGAATCCTACTAAATACTCTTTCATCTTTGATAAGAAAATTTGAATTTGAACCCTACTAAATGCAAGATCACCTTTGTTAAAGAGATTGAACCTTATTAAATGCAGGATCACTTTATCAAAAAATATTTTATTCATTACAGAAATCAAACATAGTGGTATCAACAAATTAAATGATTTAACTATTGAAGAATACAATAAAATAGATGAGATTTCTAAAATAAAGGGATTCGTGATGTCGAATGCTTTCCTCTTTTAATAGATCTTTAACAACACAAATACAAATTAGTTAGATCAATATGTATCGATATGATAGGGGAAAAAACAAATGAGCTGAGGTCAATTTTGCCTTTTGTAGAATTTAAGGAGGTGAAATGTTAATACTTTTTCCCAAGGGGCATTTTATACACCTTTACAAACATGTGGGTTCCACAAGGTATTATTTTAACATTTTTCAAAAAGCCGGCTGAAAAAAAACCGGCCAAATGGGACCCGTTATACGCTCCTTGTAGGACCGGTGTTCAGACCTGTTTGCTTCGGTTCCGAACCGCTTATTTGAATTTGTCGAACGTTAATTTGTATCAATACTTTTTCTTTTTTGGTTTTTATCATTAAAGTATTTAAATTAATATAAAATGATATTTTATTCATCTTATTTTAGCAGTTTTCAAAATGTGTTAACTTGAAGAAAAAAATGTTTGTACACAAATGGGATATAAGAAGGATAAGATGTACATAAATCATATAGATTTCTATTTTTATGGAGTAGAAAAATTGTTTATGAGAAAACTGAATTGTCAAATCGAGATTGCAAGAAAATATAATTAAAAATCACAAGAAGCAAGTGCACCAACATTTGGCTACTTACTAGCCTTCTATTATAAACCTCGACTTCCAAATTTTTCGATTGATAATCATGTCCTCGATAAGCTAAAATTGAGGAGAACATTAAGTTTTTGCTTATCTTTGAAAAATGCTACTATCGTAATATTAAAATAATAATTTATGTTTGACCAAGATTCAATGAGGAATACTCTTTCAATTGGTTAAAAAAATAGCTTATATTGCTACTACTAAAAATACTTATTTTTTTCGTAAAAGCTTGACCAAAAAACCTCTATTCACGCTAAACTAGATATTTTTACTTTTAACTATTCATATTATTAATTTGTTTGATAATATTTAACGATAAGCAAAAATAAATAAATTTTGACTCACAGGGAGAAAAAGTCTTTAATGTCTTTTCCTCTCTCTCTCTTTGATGCCATTTTCAAAGAAGAAAAACTTTGGCATATCCAAGATTTTTTTTCTTTTCATAATATAATTCTAACTTAACTATCTTCTTGGTGCCATTTTCAAAGAAATTGAATTTGGCCCAACTTTGATTTGTTTTTTCTTTTGTAATAATTCTAACTTATTACTTTTCATTATTTAATCCAATCTTAACTTCCAACATGAACTACTTACTCATAATCCAATGTTTGCTTCAAATAAAATAACTTAACCATAAAAAAAATACAAACCAAAGATTAACTTTCAGCGGAATATAAAAATATAGGTGATTTTTTTCTATTTGTTTAAAATCTTGGTAGGAAAAATTATTTGTTATTTGTATTAGTGGGAATTAATAGATATGTCATGAAATTAAAGGAGAAACGATAAAAAAATATATAGCATGCATATCTTTGATTCAATGTTTTAAAAACCTTGGGATATACATTGATATATACCAATTCTTTGATTCAAAGTCTGAAAAAGGCTATAGTAAGTAGTAAAGCACACTAAACCAAAGTTAGTTGTGTTAGTTTTTTGGATAATTTTTAATAACTAGAAATCTAGATTTCTAGGTAACCGTCTTCAACTGACTTATTGATTGTTACATTTTGTCCACCAGGAATATGATCCACTAGTGAGTTTAAAAGATTTTGAGTCAAGAGTTTATTGGAAATAATTTCTATTTTTGACTTTTGAGATTGAGATAAAATATGCATACATTCTACTTTTTCAAAACTCTATTTTATGGAGTATGGACCTATAGTCGTGAGTTTAACGGAATTTGAAATCACGTGTCACTAAAAAAAATGAAGTAGCAATGAAACAAATATTTTTGTCACTAAACAAGGGGTAATATCTAAATATAGTCTACCCTTTTCAAATTCTACTTGTGAAATTATACTGAATATGTTATATGCATTGTAAACAATAAAAATAAATTCGCCGTTCACTTTATTTAACGACGAAATAACAAAAAATATATTATTAGTTGTGAGCTAGTAATTAGCAATATTAGCTCAATGAAGAATTCTATAGCTAATTTATGTTTTTTTTTTAATCTCCACAAGATAGTGAACTAACATGAATAGAAGACATGACCAAAAAAGAAATGAAAGAGACACAAGTCAAGAGAAAATTAAGAATTAAAGAAGAAGAAGAAGAAGTACCTTAAAAGAAAAGGGCAAATTCCAAAGATGATATATATAAAATAAAGCTAGCATTTCTTCTTTAGCCAACAAATCATCAACTTGAAATAGAAATTGCCTCACTTGTTTTGCATGCAGAGTGATATAAATATATATAGTCAATAAAGTATCAAACTTTGATATCCTTTTATTTGAAAAATCAGTGGAGGGAAAAGGTTTGTCTATATAGTGTTATTTCCATGTTTTCTTTTTCCAATAAAATAAAAAATAAAAAATGATAGAGTACTAATTGTAAAAAAAGTTTAATTCCTATACACCGATAATAAATATTGTTTACACTATTAGGTTAATTTAATTACTGCATTAGGTAATTAACTTGTCATGTTTTCAGGAATGAATTTCCCCTCTCTCTTAAAGAAATAATAGATCTTTTAAACAAATAGAATTAAAATGTACAAAATGAAAATGAATTGATTGAATACAACTGTAACAACACACAATTACAAGTCCATCTCATTTTAAGCAATCTAAGTGGGTGGGTGACAAATAGAAAAAATAGTATTGCTATATACTGTTCCTTTCGGCTATAATATATCTTTAAGCTAAACAGTCGATGTATTTTTTCATCCTAGTATTGCTAAATAATTTTAACTAACATTTTTCATCATATTGATATGCAAAAATAAAATGGAGTTTATAGTACTATAGTTTTTAAATATCTAAATTTTTTTTGTTTAAAATATCAAATTAATGTAATCTAATTTAATTTAAAAATTAATTAAATTGACTTCTAAACATGTAACATGAAAATTAAAAATGGATAGATGAGGTATAAAGTTATTAATTTAGAAAGAGGCATAGAGAGAGGTTAGGAACTAGGGTCGGAAATTTGTGCACAAAAATGATAGTATTCCTTTGTATAAAAAAGCAAAGCAAAGAAAAAGCTTATTTGCTTTTAATTTTAATTTGAGAGAGAAGGGAAAGAGGGGAGGTGGGGAAAAAGAAGGGAATTTTGGCCAGCACCAAAGTTTATACTACCAGCTTGTAGTGTACAACTCTATAGGAACCTAAAAAAGTTTAAGAAAATTTTATAAAGCCTATTTTACAACTAGTGTATACCCAACAATTTGGAGAACAAGTGTACTTTCAAATTTGTTGCTTTGTTGTAGAAAGCAGAGTTTGAATCATCACATTTTGGGTGTTTTTTTTTATTCTCAAAAGAATTGTGTGGGGTTTGTTTTGTTTCTTTGGAGAGTTGAGATTTTTGATGTTAGAGGGCTTGGTTTCAAGTTTGTTTCCATAAAAATCCAATCTTGAGAATTTTGATGTTAAAGGGTGTAGTTTCAAATTTATTCCAATAAAAAGCTCTGCCTTGAGACATTTTTTTTTTCTTTCAAAATAATTATCTGGGGTTTGTTTTGTTTCCTTGGAGAATTGGAATTATGATGTTGGAAGCTTGCTTTCAAGTTTTTTTTGCCATAAAAATCCAATCTTGATGTTAGAGGGTGCAGTTTCAAATTTTGTTCCAATAAAAAGCTCTGTCTGAATCATCACATTTGAGGTTTTTTCTCAAAAGATATATGTTGGAGGCTTGAGAATTTAGATGTCAAGTTTATTGCCATAAAAAGCTGAGTTTGAATCATCACATTTGGGTTTTTTCTGAAAAGGATTATCTGGGGTTTGTCTTGTTTTACTGGAGAATTGAGAATTTTGATGTTACAGGGCTTGGTTTCAAAGTAGTTGACACAAAAATCCCTTCTTTAACGGTTTTGATACATATTTAAACAAGAATGGCAGCTGATGGTGCATTGTCTTTCTCTGTGGCATCTGTGGTGGAAGATGTTCTTCAGCAGCATGGAAGTAGATCAAGAAATCTTGATTTGGATGCCCGACGAGCAGAGGAAGCAGGTAACTTTCTAATGCTCCTTCTTGCTAATTACCAGTTTGCAATTTCTTCATTTGTGGCTAATTCAAGTATTGAGTCCATTTGGGCCAATAAATATTCATTAGAATTTTTTTTACCTATATGCACAGTGTAATTGGGATCCAATTGTGTTTTGGTTGGAGATTCATTGTTACTGACCTGTTTATGTACTCAGTCAGCTCATTCTTTAATAGATTAAGAGGAGCATGGATTTGAAACTGATTTAATGTTGTTACTATTGCGGGTCAAAAATAAGTAAATAGAAGTGTTGAATATGTAACAGCTTAAGCTTTTAAATTGAGATGGTTCACACAATGACACAATTCAGCATCTTATTGTTGAGAAGACATTATTTTGACTGCTTATTTTCTACTTTATAAGGAATGATATCGAAATAAATATTTATTTGTAGCAACAAGGAGGTATGAAGCAGCAGCGTGGCTGAGAAAGGTGGTGGGATTTGTGGGAGCAAAAGATTTACCAGCTGAGCCTTCTGAGGAAGACTTCAGGCTTGGCTTAAGGAGTGGAATAATTCTTTGCAATGTACTTAATAAAATGCAGCCTGGAGCTGTCTCCAAGGTAAAATACAATCCAAAACATTTCCATCCCCTCACACCAGTGCAACCAATTAATCAAATGTCTAAGCCCCAAAATAGTTGCGGTCGTCTATATGAATCCTTTGTATCATTGAGCTCGATTGATTTACAACCAAGAAAATCTTCATAGTTTGTTGGACTTGAATTGTTATCTTTCTACCTTCAAAACTGATCTTGATCAACAACTGCAGGTTGTTGAAAGTCCGGTTGACTCTGCACTTATTCCTGATGGAGCAGCCTTGTCTGCATACCAATACTTTGAGAATGTCCGTAATTTTTTGGTTGCTGCACAAGAGTTGGGGATTCCTTCTTTTGAGGCATCTGATTTGGAACAGGTTAGTATGGTGCCTTAATGTTAGCCAAATTGCCAAATAACCTAGTACTAATAGTAGTGCAAGGTTTGTTACCTGTTTACTGAAATTTTGGTACGTCTTATAGAAATTTAAATACAAAGTTTTTGAGTCTTAGTGGTGATGTATTGTCATTCTCACGACTGTGAATTGGATTTGCTGCTTAATATGGAGTCACCTTCATTGATAAAGCTGCATTTTAAAAAAATATAATTATCAGGGTGGAAAATCGTCAAGGGTTGTCAGCTGTGTTTTGGGACTTAAAGCCTACAGCGAGTGGAAACAGACAGGTGGGACTGGAGTCTGGAAATTTGGTGGAAATGTAAAATCCACAACATCAGCAAAACAATTTGTACGCAAAAATTCTGAGCCATTCTCAAGTTCTCTCTCAAGGAGTATGTCAATGAATGAAAAATCCACGAATGGTGTATGCACTGAGGCTGAAAGTAACAAAATGGTAGGTAGAATCTACTAGACGAACATTACATGCTTTAGCAATAACGGATCAATGACATGATTCATCAATTAAATCTTCTCTTTACAGTCCAGCTCTTCCTTAAGCAACCTTGTTCGTGCAATTCTGATTGATAAGAAGCCTGAAGAAGTTCCTAATGTAAGTTGGAATGCAGTAAATTTCTTACTGTATTCAGATACATTTTCCTTCTAGATTCTTGTAGTTGCGAAAGAAACTCTTGTCCAAGCCTCAATTTTCTTGTTCCTGCACATTTTCAAGAGAGTTACTGACCAAATTACAAGGTGAACTAAGAAAAAGAGTAATGTTAATCAGGGTAGACATTTATCAAGTAATTTGCCACTATATTGCATTGGATGTTGGTATCTAGTGTCGTTGTTCTAAGATACAGCAATGGTGTACTTGCTGCAGCTTGTGGAGTCAGTGCTGAATAAGGTTGTTGAGGAGTTTGAGCAGCGGATTACAAGCCAAATTCAATTGGTAAGTTTACTTCTATTAAGATACAGCAATGCTATATTTGGTAGTCACAACTGATTGGTTCTTCTAGTCTCTCTCTTTGGGCGCCACACTTGTCTAAACGTGTTTTTGTTGGATTATGTCATTTAATGCCTTTTGAGTATATCTCATGTTCTACCAAAACAGAACATATAATGGCTTCTCCACCTTTTTGAATTTGTTATCACCCTTTGTCTTCTTCTCTGACACTGTATTTGGATAACCTTCCATCAGAACAAAGCAATAACTCCAAAGGACTCGGCAGTTTCCTGTGGTAACAAGTTCCTTCAGAAACATTCTTCGGCCAGCACAAAGGTAATGCCTCTCATTTTTGCAAATCACTAGGTAATCAATCATAAAGGTTTTTTTTTTAATGTAGAATAGAGGATCACTCATACTTGTGCATTACTTTTTTTCTCTTTCTCAATTAGACTGACCAAAGAACCGTAACACTGATGAAAGAAGAGAATCACATCGTCAATGAGGAACTTCAAAGAAGGCACATGATGCAGAACACATTTGTTGACCAACAGCAACGAGACATCAAGGTAAAAATCAAAACCAGGCATGATCGGACTCCCAAACATGGAAGTTTTGGATTTTCCACCTATATTTACGAACAATGATGTTCCACTGCAGGACCTGAAGCAAACTCTTTTGACTACGAAAGCGGGTATGCAGTTCATGCAAATGAAGTTTCATGAGGAAATGCAAAATATTGGTAGAGTCAATGCACTTGACAAATGTTCCCCTTTTTTTCCTTTCTTTTCTATTGTTGATTCCTTCAGCTGAGTTTGCTTCCATCTTGTAATATCCCTGCATTATAGGCATGCACGTACATGGCCTAGCACACACAGCTTCTGGTTATCATAGAGTTCTTGAAGAAAATCGCAGGCTTTACAATCAAGTGCAAGACCTTAAAGGTATCTTTATTGTAACATCCCACTTTGTGTATCTTTATTGTAACATCCCACTTTGTTCATCTTCATTCTCTCATACATGTTTTGAAATGAAAAGGTTGTTTGTTTGTGCTCCAATTCAGGAAGCATAAGGGTTTATTGTCGAGTAAGACCCTTTTTGCCTGGGCAATCAAGTTATATCAGTAATGTGGATCATATAGACGATGGTAGCATTACAATAGGTGTTCCGTCAAAGAATGGGAAAGGACGCAAGTCTTTCAATTTCAATAAAGTATTTGGACCCTCCGTAACTCAAGGTTGGTTAGACCAATCTTAAAATGTCATGTATACTTTAATTTTAGCATCAAGTAGCTCTCTTCATGGCATATTTTCTTCTCTATTTTGGTTGTTCACCTTTTACATTTCTCTACTTATTTTGTGTGGCAGGAGAGGTGTTTTCAGACACACAGCAACTGATTAGATCAGTTCTGGATGGGTACAATGTGTGCATTTTTGCTTATGGTCAAACTGGATCAGGAAAAACCTACACAATGGTTAGATGAAAAAAAATTCATATGTACAACTATTGTCATATTTTCCCTCTTTTACGTGCTAAGAAGTTGTAAATTTCTATTCAGACGGGGCCTAAGGATCTTACAGAACAAAGCCAAGGGGTGAACTACAGGGCATTAGGCGATTTGTTCCTTCTTGCAGAGCAAAGAAAGGACACCTTCCTCTATGATGTGTCTGTGCAAATGATTGAGATATATAACGAGCAAGTCAGGGATCTCCTTGTTTCTGATGGTGTACACAAAAGATATCCTTTTCAGTTCTTTTCAATTACATTTTTATGATCTTTGAAGCTTTTCTCAACTTGACTATCTAATATATACATGCAAGGACATTCTTATATTGAGTCCCAATTATATTAACTTCTCAATGTCTTTATGGTAAACAATAGAATTATTATTAGTCCACTGTTCAGTCTTTTACTTCCCGTCTTCCTTAACCTATCGTTACATTAGAAATTCGTAGTGCTTCTCAAGGACTAACAGTACCAGATGCAAGTCTGGTTCGTGTGGCTTCAACTTCGGACATCATTGATTTGATGAATCTTGGACAAAGGAATCGTGCAGTGAGTGCAACAGCACTCAATGACCGCAGTAGCCGCTCTCACAGGTGTGATGGATATTCCGTCTTTCTTTGATTACTTTCTAGTACTTTGCAAGAACTTCAAATGAAAATGAGAACTGTGTTGTTTTTTGGCCTGCAGTTGCCTAACTGTTCATGTCCAAGGAAGAGACTTGACTTCTGGAGCCATTCTTCGAGGCTGTATGCATTTGGTTGATCTTGCTGGAAGTGAGAGAGTAGATAAATCTGAAGTAACAGGAGATAGACTTAAAGAGGCACAGCACATTAACAAGTCTCTCTCAGCATTAGGTGATGTAATCTCTGCCCTGGCGCAAAAGAACGCACACGTTCCATATCGTAACAGCAAACTTACACAACTACTTCAAGACTCACTAGGTAAGGGCATATATTAACTGATCAAAGCTTGTATCTTAATGAGGTTCTCTTCTTTCTCTTAAGTAAAAATATGATTTGGGATGTCATTCGTTTTAGGTGGGCAAGCCAAAACATTGATGTTTGTTCACATAAGTCCTGAACCTGATGCCATAGGAGAAACAATTAGCACACTTAAATTTGCAGAACGTGTTTCTACTGTTGAACTTGGTGCTGCCCGAGTACATAAAGACACTACAGATGTCAAAGAGCTCAAAGAACAGGTACACCATATCTCTTCCCCCACTATCAATCATTCCTTCTTTCTATTATAGCACGAGTTTGTAGTCCATGTATACATGCTCACGTATGATTATTTTCATCAGATTGCTAGTCTGAAAGCTGCCTTGGCAAGAAAAGAGACGGAACCGGTCTCCATGAGTTATAAGGTTACTAGCAGTCCATGTGGCTTGCAGTCATCACCTTTTCAATCTAATCTACAAGGGAGAGAGATGTTGGGGAATTCAAACATCCAGAGGAGACCAGTGGAGGATGTAGGCAACAGAGAGGTAAAATCTCTACGACTGAATTGAGTTCAATCGCTTAAGGATAAATTGCAGACCCCTTCCTGTTTAGCAGAAAAATATTTTACTGAGGTCTAGTACACTAATGGTATTTCCCTCGTGCTCTTCATATTAATTAGAATCTGAATTACTTCGTGAAAAGTATCTGAATCTATAAATGTTTTGTGGAGTTATTGCTATATAGTTAAATAATAAATATGGAAATACAACAAAATAGCTCCTAATGATTCTTATAAGCTTCCATCTTGATACATGCAGTTATCATCGTGTTTGACATATTATAATTTGCTTTAATTTGCAGGTCTCTAGTAATTCTGCATCCAGACAAAGGAGGCAAAGCTTTGATCTTGATGAGTTATTAGGAAATTCCTCTCCCTGGCCATCTGTTAGCAGCCCTTCCGAAAACTATGTAGAAGATGATAATAACATGAGCTCAGGTGAGTGGGTAGACAAGGTCATGGTGAACAAACAGGAAGCTGCCCGTGGAGTTGGAAACCTGTTTGGATGTTGGGAATCCGAAAAAGGCAATGGCTCGGATGTACTTTATGAGAAATATCTTTCAGATTCATCTAAAGTTTACCAAGAAAAAACAAGTAATATTTTCCAAATGAGCAATCACTTTGACATCACTGCTACTGAAGATTTAGATGAGTTTGATGCCACTACCAGTGATTCGTCGGAGCCAGATTTGCTTTGGCAATTCAATAATTCAAAAGTTAACACTTTCCCTAGTAGTGGGAATGGCTCAAAGATACAAAAACCAAATACAAAACCGGGAAAGATCCCAGAATCAAGGTTAGTCTTAAGCCCATTCACTTTGTAGTTTGTTTGTATCTCAAAAGTAGCATGCTTCTTGTAACAGAACAGTAGTCAAATAGCAATCTTTTAATAATAATTTGTTCACTGCCTATTTTAGGAATGTGGTTCATAAAGTAGGGCCTCCATTATCACGACAGACAAGTGGAATTAGCCACAATCAGCGGAATGGCAGACAGGCAATGACTGCTGAAATGAAGCGAAAAGCTGGAAGCAGGAAGTAGGAAAAGAGTTTACAATTCTTCTTATTATTTTTTGGTTATTATTGTGGCGAGTGAATGAGAGTGGTTTTGCATTTTTTATTTTTTTTACACAGTTTCTCTCTTTGATTTTTCCCATCAAATTACTTGTGCAAATGAGGCAATAATTCCAGTTGCTTGTAATTTTTGTATCATTCGAGTTGTAAGAGTTCAAGTTCGTGTTGGATAGCGTTGTAGTAGGTAGCAGAGTGTGACGATCCTCAAACGTTATTGTTTGATTTGATAGTCTGTGGGATTCGACTTTGTAAATTTTGCACATATATATACAATTTAAAGGGTGAGAACTGAAAATATGTTTCTTCAGTCTACATCTATTTGTTTTACTTGTCCCCTTCCCTGGATTTAATTGCTGTCATCTTTTTCTCCTTTTAGTTCCTATGTTGACTTTCCAAAAATGCAGGCGCACCCGTTTGGATCCGACATTTTTGAAGAATCCGATCAACAAAGTGACTTTTCCTGCCTTCATACAACATACTATAGCAAGGGATAATGGAACTGAGTGGAATATAGGCAGGGACCATGAAAATGTTTCTCCAGTCTACATCTAGTTGTTTTACTTGTCCCCTTCCCTGGATCCAAATGCTGTCATCTTTGTTTCTTTTAGCTCCTCTGTTGTCCGGACTCTCCAAAAATGTAGGTGTAACCATGTCACATCCTCCAAAAATAAACTATTTTGGAGGATTCTACATGCAGAGCGTAGTCCTCCCTGCAGCCTTGAAGTAGACTATTTCTCGAGTCTGATCTTATCCCCAAAGCCTTTTTGCAAAAGGAGTAGGTAGCGAGATAGATGACTAAAGGCTGATGTCGATATTTTTGAAGAATTCGAGCAACAAAGTGACTTTTACTGCCATCATACAACATACTATTATAGCAAGGATAATGGAACTCAGTGGAATACAGGCAGGGACCAGGACAACTTTCATCAGTTGATGTCCTTCCTCATAATTCATCCACAAAATGAGATCTCTTCCAATTTGAATATTATATAACGGTCATTTCGTATTTTTAAGAAGACCATAAAACTAAAAATAATAATTGTAAAGGGCTAGAAAACTATTTCTACGTAATTCATCTTAGTATTGTTTACAAGATTGTGCTCCTTATGGCATATTTCATATTTTATACCATAGTGTCTGCCTGAACACCTTTTACTTAACAAATCGATAGCAATTGCTTATTGTTAACTGGGCCAAAAGAAAAATGAAATGACAAAACAAACTAAGGTACTGTCAGTTAAAGACCTGTCTCCATTACAAATCTTGCCATAATGTTTTCTAATGTTGACATGACAACATGAAGTTTGGAAGTTCGGTAGAGTGTATAAAAATAATACTAATTAGAGTGTAGTTGTAATGTTTGCATTAACAATGCATGTATTAGTTATGCTTACATTAATTATACATAGATTTTTTTTATGCATTGTTTAGTTTGATGTATTAAAAATAGCATGCATTGCATAAAAAAATTATTTACAAAGATACCTCCACTATTATGATTTATGGTGGAAAAAATGTAAAAAAGGTTTTGAGGGGCAAATGGGTCTTTAATCGTGTTAATGCGTGCATTAAAACCATTACATTGCTAATACCTAGAAATCCATGATATTAGTAAATAGTGATACACATCTTAATACTCAATATAGTGTATAACTAATACACAATATTGTCAAAGGCGCGCTTAAGCCCTAAAACAAGGCTCAAAACATGTAGAACATTTCACCTTGCTTAATGAGCACTTCAATCTCATCATTAAGGTTCTATGCCATACTTTTTCTTGCCAATAATGAGCCTCTTTAGAAGAGACACTAAACAATTGATATATCACTTTATTTTAACTTTTGTCAATTTCTTTGTTCATTTATTTTTTATTCATGCTTATAATTATTATTCCTGGACTATATATATATATATGTTTGTGCCTTTTTTCATTAAATACCAACGGACCTTTGAGCGTTCGGAAACAACCTCTACCTCCACGAGATAGTGGTAAGGTCTGCATACATTCTACCCTCCCTAGACCCCACTTGTAGGATTCCATTGGATATGTTGTTGCTGCTGCTTTTAATAATGTTGCCTACGGAAAATTGCATACCTTGAACACAAGACTTTGTGGGCTATGATTTCTTTTCAATTCAATCAAATGGAAAAATAACTTATCTCCATAATAATTCTTGATCTACATATGAATACCTAGTAATGTTGATATGACAACATTAAAGTCACCTCAAAACGCAGGGTGTGCAAGTAGAGGTAACCTTAAAAGAAAATTTGCAATTTGATGCCTTCAACTCAAGACAATACCTAGTAATGTTGATATGACAACATTAAAGTCACCTCAAAAGGCAGGTGTGCAAGTAGAGGTAACCTTAAAAGAAAATTTGCAATTTGATGCCTTCAACTCAAGACTCTGTACTAACAACTCTTTTCAATTCAATCAAATGACAAAAAAAGATTATTTCAACAATGACAATCAACTATAACACCCCTTCTTTGCGGCCTAATTTACAAATGTAAGACAAATGACAAAAAAACTCAAATGAACAAAGGGACAAGAAAGGAACAATTCATCTGAATTTGCTGCACTACCAAAATTTTTCCTATATGTGAATGAAGAAACTGATGCTGTACACAGGCGACAATCAGCGATCTCAGGCCACTTTGAAAATGTTTGTATCATTGGATTCTTGATACTTGCATAAGCACGACACCATAGATTCTGCATTGCATCTTATTGGAGAATATACACCAGCATTGGAAGTTGAAATGTGTCTCATTGTATAGTTTCAATGAAATGAATTGTTTCACTTACAAAACTGCAACTTGACTGTAAGGGTGGTGTAAGAGGGCAAAGCAAGTTGAAGTAGTACTAGAAAATGAGCTCTCGAGCTCAGGACATGGTTCAGGAGACACATTTTGAGAAGAACCGGATATATCAGAGCATAGCCATGGTGTAAAAGGGTTGGAAGAAATGGAAAAGGTGATGTTTGATAGACATATTGAAGTAAAGGGAGATTCAGATAATCCAGTGAAATTGCCTGCTATAGAAACATTTGTGCCAACAATGTCCTCAAAGGTGATACCACTAACAACTGGAAGTGCAGACGGATCAAATTTCTCGTCCGGATGAGAATCACAATGACCGGTGGCCTCAATTCCCACTTGCACATTTGCCATAACCACATCTGTAACTAGAATATCTTTGATATAACCACCTCTTCCTCTTGCTGTCTTCAGCTCAATCCCCAAAAGGGAGTCATGCAAGTAAACATGCTCTACTAGCACATTGGAGATACCACCAGACATCTCACTGCCAAAAGCCATTCCAGCACCTGCAAAAGACTGCAGCCTAACCCCTCGAACATGGACATTCAAAGTAGGTTTGCCATAGGAAATCCCGTACTTGTCCCAACCGCTTTTGAGAACAACAGCATCATGGCCCATGCTAATGTTGCTGTTCTCAATGCACACATGCTCGGAAGAATCTGAAGTTGCATATAAGGTCTCACATTACTTGGAAAGTACCTCTAAATTTCTAAAACAGAACAAACAACTACATATTGTTTCAGTAAAATCTGGAGTACTTAGTCTCATCAAAGTAAAAACCAGAGTGAAGGCTATGTGTACCTTCAAATTTATACTAATGGTGTTGTTGTTGGTGTGTGTGTGTGTATATACATTTAATTTATTATAAACTTGTTTCTGTTTTACTGCGCAAAACTGGCATTGTTTGATGAACTAAGCAGTAACAGGAAACTATCCGGTTCTTCCCCTTGAGTGTAAAGAAAATTATCCAATTTTTGGCTGAAAATTGTCTTAGAAAATCAATCTGAGGTTCTTGGACAAACAAAAGTGTTGGCTACTTTATGTACCACTTAAAACAGGTTTCAGATGCACAAATGTTGTATACAAAGTAAAAAAGGTAAGAGAAATAATTATATTTAAATCAACCTGGTACTACGCCATAGGTATATGGGGAGTTAGCTGGAGAATGAACCGATATGTTCTGAACCACAACATTACTGCAAAATATGAAAATTTCAGATCTTACTGCCGAACCTTATATTGAAAAGCTTTTCTCACAGAGATAATGAACTTACCTGCAATACACCAGGTGAATATTCCAGGCCGGAGCATTCAGGAAGGTCAAGTTTGAGACGACAACATCTTTGGAGCTAACAAATTCTACTAGGTGTGGTCGAGTATAATTTAAAGAATGGGCAGTGAACTGCTCCCACCATATAGAACCCTGACCATCAACAGTTCCATTATTACCTGCACAAGCAATAGGCATGAGGTGGCTGCATGCAGGGATAACAACAGAAATATTAAATTAGTAGATCAATGCAATGAAGGAATTCCTGCCTGTTATCACAACATCAGTTAAATTATCTCCAAAAATCAAGCTGCGATATCTTCCACCTTGTGCCTCAATACCTCCACCATAAGAGGGTAAGGCTTCAACTATATCCCAATGAGCATAATCCTACATTGCAAAAACGTATACTTATAAATAACAAATGTATATATCCAATGCATATGTAAATACATTGAGACCTAAAGTTACTCCCCACCATCATAATGCATATACAAACAGTAAAATTTGATTATTAGGAGGTTATGACAAATTGTGATCTACCCTTCCGCGGCAGAACATCTATCATCTTCTCTGTTGGAGTTGCCTGAATGTAGATTTCAGTATAATTTACAGCAACTAAACCATAACACCTCATCATTAAGTTCTACAAGTTCTCATGTTAATCATTTCTTCCTTCTTCTTATTTTGATGATTGTGGTGTCCGGGCCACCTAGCACGCGCCTCAACTATTCCACGGGGTACTTGCTACCTCCAACCAACACATGCACCAAGGCTTGGAAAGAAATCACTTAATATTTTTGCCTCCGCTAGGATTTGAACTTGAGACCTCATGGTTTTCGACTCACCTCATTAACCACTAGGCCACACCCTTGAGTGCCTCAAGCTAATCATTTCTTTTCCAAGAATTAATTCGGCTATTGTTAATACAGCAACAGCCTTTATATTTCCATGAGCACAAAAAATATCTAAACAAGCTGGAACTTCAGAACCAGTCCAGGGGCTAACCTTTGATCCCAGAATAATGGCTTCTTTTTCAAGGAAGAGTGTGAGGTGACTGGTAAGCTTTATGCTTCCGGTCAGCCACCTTCCAGCTGGAACATAGAGCTGTGCTCCACCTTTGTCAGCAAAGGACTTGAGATAGAAAATGGCATTCTGGAAGGCCAGAGTATTTAGAGTCTCCCCATCAC